GAGAATAGTCAGTAAACTTGCCGAGGTCAGGGACACAGAAGGAGACATAACAATGACAGAGAGCCAAAAGTCAAGGATACCAGAATACAGGAAAGTCAAAATGAAGCCAAAGTCAAAAAACAGAAATAAACGCTCAGGAAGACTCTCTCGCATAACCTACTAAGGGAAACCCCGACAAGGCAATAAGGAGAAGTAAAAGTGCATTTAAATAAGCCTCTTACAGATCTGATTGGCCAAAATTGGCTTTTGACCCCAGAACATGCATGCGCATCTCCCACGTGACATCACACGCAATGCCGACGTCATCACCACCAGGTGGGGCTATAAATTGGCGTGGATCCGCAGGTATACTGACGCATGGCCGCTGAGCGGCACTTCCATTATTGTCAGGGAGGCAATTACTGAAGATACCACAAGGTGAGGATGAAAATGTTACACATCTTACATAAGTAGTACCGTCACTGTATGCTACGGTTGTTTTTCTTATGCTATTGTAACATTAACAAACAAATGTTTTCAATACATTCTAAGCTATAACATTTGGCAATAATGCTCTAATCTGAGCCACTTGTTTTTCACCTGCGTGTATCATGTTGCCTTGTGTTCATCTTGTGCGCTTGAGCATCTAGAGAGATTAGTTTTTGAGCATCTCTTTAGGTGTTTGTGGTCCTCTTGCCCTAGACATTCGGAGTTAAGAGAATAGAAGAAGTGGGTTGGAATGGGGAGAGGACCAGGTAGAAGTAAGTGGAAGGGAGGGTGAGGGGAGAAGGGGAAGAAGAGAGAGAGAGAGAGAGAAAAGAGGGTGGGTGTCGGGGAGGGGTTGTGGGTGGTTATAGTGATGACAGTACCCTTCTACAGGTAGATTGGGGCTGTCATCTTTGCCTTGTGTGTCCCCTGTTTGTGTGGGCATGCTTTATCAAGCTGCCTCAGGTAGTCTCATTTTGTGTCTATGTAGGTAGTGTGTGTTAGTGTTCTGATTACGCGTTGTTTCCCTGGCCTGATATGTTTTCCAGCCATGGAGTTCATACCTGGACAAATGTGTCTGTGTTACCCTTAAATGATCACTATAGGGTCAGGAACACAAACATGTATTCCTCACACTATAGTGTTAACACCACCATCTAGCCCCCCTGGGCCCCTCATGCCTCCATAAATATAGCAAAATCTTACTGTATTCAAGCCATAAGCTATAACTCTGCATGCTGTTTGCCACCCCCCCCTCCCCCCCCAAAAAAAACAAGCAGTCTGCTGACATCATCAGAAGTGGTGGCCTGATCCAATCACAGTGCTTCCCCATAAGATTTGCTGAGACTGACAAGTGGCAGATCAGGGGCAGAGCCAGCATGATTCAAACAAAACCCTGGACAATCAGCATCTCCTCATAGAGATGAATTGAATCAATGAATCTCTATGAGGAAAGATCAGTGTCTGCATGCAGAGGGAGGAGATACTGAATGTTTGGATGCATTTTAGGCAGCCATGACCCAGGAAGGATCTCTAACATCCATCTGAGGAGTGTCCAGTGAAGTTTTCACTAGGCTGTAATGTAAACACTGCATTTTCTCTGAAAAGACAGTGTTTACAGCAAAACGCCTGAAGGTAATGATTCTACTCAGCAAAACAAATTTAATAAGCTGTAGTTGTTCTGGTGACTATAAGGTCCCTTTAACCCCTTAAGGACACATGACATCTGTGACATGTCATGATTCCCTTTTATTCCAGAAGTTTGATCCTTAAGGGGTTAAGCTGCACGGTCAGGGATTCCATTTTGCAGATTTCTTCTACTTTTGTCATCCACTGCCGGATGGTCGGCGCACCCGTTTTCTTCCAGTGTAGTGGGATCAGTACTTTTGCGGCATTTAGTAATTGTTTGGCTAGTCATTTTTTGTCATTTTTTTGTGTGGGGAGGGGTTGAAATGGAAGCTCAGATTCAGTGATGGTGTTAATCTTTGAGTGAATCTGTTTCCAGAAGGGCACCGGTCTTGGAAAAGACCACCATATGTGGAGGGTGATCACGGTCTCGTCTACGCATCTTCAGGGCGCATCTGCCAAATCAGGGTCTATGCGATATAGGATTTCAGGTGTTCTATACCACTGGGTCAATATTTTGTTATGAGTTTCTTGCACTTTGGAGCATTGAGAGCTTTGATATGTGAGTATATAGATTTTTCCCATTCTTGATTTGTCAGTGTGACCCCGGTTTCTGCTTCCCAATTGGACTGAAATTTTGGGGGTTCTCCTGGGCCACCTGTCAAAAGAAGTGCATATAGGTTGGAGATGCCTCGGAACATATTCACTCTCGCCGTACAGTAACGTTCAACGAGCAAGGTCATATTGTATGTTTTTATATGGAGGTATCTGAATTTATCTAATCCTGTGGAAGTCCTGTCCAGGATCAGTGCCCTGAATGGTTTAAGTTCATCATCTGTGCACAAAATCCACAATAGGTCCAGTCTGTCGCACCGAACTCCCGAAGTTCAGCTGGCGACAGTAACACCTCAGAGTGCAGGTGATTCCGGGGTATCCGCGAACTCCTGACATGTACATCAGGGGATTCTAACCACCATCCTGTTGAAGGTCCACCGAGCATGCTCGCTCCATACAGATCAGATAGGGCAACAGAAAGAACATACTGAGAATGAGGTATTCCCAGCCTTTGAACCTTTAAGTTCACCAATAAGCCCTTCAATGCTAGAAGTTTCAACAGAAAGCCTAGATCTTAGATCAATCCTGGCACAATTACCCTTTAAAACAGATTTGATTGATATGTTTTAAAAAAAAGGAGAATAGCTTTGGGGAAAAATTAAAAGCTGTCACTACAGAAATACACTACTTAGGGGACAGAGTGTGTGAGCTGGAAGAGAACCAAGAAATAAATGAAAACTAGTGGACTGAATGTCGGAATACACTAAGATCACAGACCGAAGCTATTTTATCCATACAAAGGAAAATGGATGCTATTGATCACCGAGGAAGAAGAAACAATCTACGGATAAGAGGGGCACCTGAAATAATCTTAAACGCTTAAGGGTAGTCAGAACAAAATTAGGGGCATTATTGAACTACGAAGGTCAAAGAGTGGTCCAGCTGACTCAAAGTACATTGTATACATATGGCGATAAAAGTGGGAAATTCTTAGCTAAAACACTCAAAGCTAAATTGCAAAAAACCTACGTATTTAAAATCAAAGATAAATAGGGGAAAAATTGTAATACCACTGAGGAAATAGCAAATACTTTTAGTAATTATTATAAAGACCTCTACAATTTAAATTCCCCCTCCCCCCCCCAGAAAAGACCCCTTATGATAGAGTGCAAAATCTATCCAAAAATATACCAATACAAATTTCAAAAGAAACAGCAGCTCAAATGGAGGAATTGTTCTCCCCGGAGGAACTCTCGGCGGCGATTGAGGCAATACCCCTTAATAAAAGTTGTGGGCCAGATGGATTATCGGCACGCTATTTTAAACAATTCCAAAACATTCTTGTTCCACACTTTCTTAGAGCCTTTAATGGATTGTCTTCAACTACTGACATGCCAACATCATTGTTGAGAGCTGTAATTACTGTGATATATAAAATGGAAAAGATCCAGAATTATGCAGCAGTTATAGACCGATTTCTCTTCTTAATCTTGATTTAAAAATATTTGCAAAACCTCTGGCAAATAGACTTAAGCCACTTATGCCTGGACTGATCCACCCTTATCAAGCTGGCTTTGTCTCTGGCCTTGAAGTCAGAGACAATACTACCAAAATCTTGAATGTATTACATGGAGCTATAATAAATAAAAGCCCTACAGTTTTGTTAACAATTGATGCTGAGAAGGCCTTCGACAGGGTGGATCAGTCCTATCTGTTTCCAGTGTTAGAGGCATGGGGGCTTGGTCCGAGATTTTGCAAATGGATACAGATACTGTATAAAGGCCCTTCAGCCATGGTTCGAATTAATGGTTTACTTTCAAATCCCTTCATTATTAACAACGGCACTCGTCAAGGATGCCCGTTGTCTCCTCTTCTTTTTGTTTTAGCATTTGAACCTTTCTTAGAAGCTATACGAAGAAACACCGATATTAAAGGATATAAGTATAAGGGAGGAGAGGTTAAAGTAACCGCTTTCGCGGATGATGTTTTATTTACGCTTATAGAACCTCAATATACACTTCCTTTTGTTCAGGAAGAATTGGAGAAATTCAGTACTCTATCTAATTTTAAGGTAAACACAGATCAATCTGAAATATTGGGAGTAGGGACAAGCATAGGAATTAAGGAAAAAATACAGATGCTTTATCGGTATAAATGGACAGACTCTTGCATAATATATTTAGAAATACATCTGACGGCTCATGTAAAAGATCTATTTAAAAAATTGAAGAAGATTTAAAAAAATTGCAACCAGCCCTTCTTTTTATTGAGTGGGAGAGTTAACGTCATAAAAATTATGATACTCCCTAAGGTATTATACTTATTCCAGACATTGCCTATTTCGCTGCCGAGAGCCTTTTTTGGGAAAGTACGATCTATATTGCTTTAATTTATATGGAATAATAACCACTCACGTATCACGTACAATACATTGACACTACCAGTCGAGAAAGGAGGCCTGGGCCTCCCACATATTTATAAATACTATGTTGCGGTACCATGTGCACGAATTAGAGACTTATTGGGAACTACTGGCTCTAAGTATTGAGTGTTATCTATAAGATTCTACCAATGTCAGATCAACTATCCCCATCTAAGATCTTACTGGGCTGGCCAGCTTCTTTTAAGGAGAACAATAAACAGATATTGTTAAGTTTCCTTTTGAATGAGGCAAATGCTTTGTTCCCGCTGTATTGGCTTAAACCTAGCATCCCGACTGTAAAACAATGGATTCTTAGAGTGGAATCATTAAGGGAATAAAAAAAAAAAAAATGAAAGAAGCTCAAACCATAGCTCATCGGCTCCCAGGGAGGGACTCAATACATATCAGGGGAACCCCAGCCCCCTACTTACAGGGTACCCGACCCCAGGTCATCTTATGTGGGGCACCTCCCCATCCAACCTGGTCCATGGACCTAGTGTCCAGGGGGGTCCCAGCACCACCGCTCAAGGAGCCCCCCACGAGAGCAGTCGAGCACAAGGAGACGATCATCCTTAATGCAGGTCCGATCCCAATATGTGAACCCCACATGTATTTTCCACTGCCAAACAGGCAAGGACCCTGGTCTACCCTGCGACCCCCAAACCAGGCCCTCTATTTACCCTGATGTCCCCCCAACTGGCCTGGGCCTGCCACCCTGGTGGAATGGTCCCCGCCTAGCTTATAGTGTAACAATATAGATGCATGTGCAGCCATGGCATGGTATGATGATGGAGTCCAGGGTCGCAACTGGCTGGGTTTGGCTGTATTTAAGTTATGCATTAACAAACACTATACTCATATTAGTGAAAATACATAAATAAAGAAAATGTAAAATAAATATTCTTCTTCCCCTTTCCCTTTCTTTCCCCCCGTTTCTCCCCCTATCCTTCCACTCCCCCCTCCCCCTCCAACGAAGAAGAATAAAAAAAGTGTAGCTTGGGAGTTTGTGTAATGTCCCCTTTGGAGTGGTACATAGCAGCGTACTAAAATAAAATTTTTAAAAAAGAAATTAAAATGCTTATGTAGAGTTCTCTACCAATATGCACTAGGAACTTGTGGCTCATTTGCATAGTCTTGGCCTTCCCCCCCCTCCGGGTTACGAAGGTCGTCTGCACCTGTTGACCATTGTCCCCCCAGGGGGATCTTTATTGTGGATTACAAAATGTTTGGATACAGAATGATTAATGTAGCCTTTTTTATGTTTTATAAAAAAGGCTACATTAATCATTATGTTTTGTCCATGCTGATCAGCACATCCCCTTTTCATTCACTTAATAACATAGAGAGGTATTGGCAACTGACATTAATTTTTCTTTACTCTTTTTATGTAAAATTATTGTTTCTTGGAGCTATTTTTAAAGGGTTTATTCGCCAATCGGAGTTTGTAAGTTAATAACACATTTTAAAAATCTCGACCTAAATATGCAACTTAAATTAAGTTAAGTCAGACTTATTTTCCAATTTTGCTATTTTGGCCTCAAATTATGGTTAAGTGAAATGTGTATTACTTTTTTTTAACAAAAATTAGTTGTTAATTTCCCAAAGCCTGCTTGAAAGACCAACATGGCGGTAGAAGGGTTAAGAACCTATGCATTTTTCAATTTTCCACACAGTGCTGTTGTGTTTCTAAGTTAATCTGATTGCTGCTACGGAAACTTAATAAATACACTTCGTAGGGAGTGGGACTGAACTGCTGTCAGTCTTGTTAGAGGAATTTCAGTCACCCTGAACACAGGCTGCATGTGGTTTCTGTGATCTATTACAGCTGATTGATCAGGAATGACAGCAGAACTGTATTATCAGCATCCGGGTCAAAACAGACATCTGGATGGTATGTCTCCTTACTAATTTAGCTGCAGATGCTGCCTGCACTATAGATACAGAGTTGCTGATTCAAGTCCTAATAGGAAAATAATTATCCAGGAGAACAAGTAAAAGCAAGCTATGCATTGTAATAAAATTGCAGTGCGAAGGTTCTGTGATTATTACTCAGCCTGCAGAATTTACAACTACAGGTTCAGTCACTTGTCAGGTCAACTCTGCAATTTATATGTTTGTGGTCAATGGAAAGAATTCCATTGAGTTGGGTAATACTAAACATCTAAACCTAAATACAAACGTGAATGCTTTGAGAAAAAGTCACTAACGTTTGTCCATGTCTATAGATCTGATACAGACAAAAAGATATATGCTAAATATCTTGTAGATATCTCTAGATAGAATTTCTTCAAATTTAGTTATTTTGTATTTTGTCATTTTTGCATTTGCAAGTTTTCTGTCATTTATCTTCAATCTTCAGTTTAGTGATTACACGCTACTAAATGTGTGCATGTTGAGAAATTTTGTCATGGCTGAAGCATTTTTCCAGAAAACAGAACATTTTTAGGAAAGCACTATTTTGATACCGAAAAACTGATTTGGGAACTGAATCAGGCAAACCAACAGAACACAAATCAGTGTTCAGCCACGGGAGGGCTGGCAGCCTTTACTGTAAGAACAATCAGGATGTGGAATTCTCTGCCTGAAGAAGTGGTTTTATCAGAGTCCATACAGATGTTCAAACGGCTACTAGATGCATACTTGCAAGAACAGAATATTCAAGGATATAATCTTTCAATGTAGGGTAATAACTGCTTGATCCAAGGATAAATCTGACTGCCATTCTGGGGTCAAGAAGGAATTTTTTCCCTAGCTTGTTGCAAAATTGTGCTTCAAACTGTTTTTTTTTTTGCCTTCTTTTGGATCAACAGCAAAAAACAAATGTGAGGTAGACTGAACTTGATGGACGCAAGTCTCTTTTCAGCTATGTAACTATGTAACTATGTAAAAGCAGTCAAATGGCCCATTGCACCACCAAATCAGTTCACCATCCATGCCCACCTTTTCCTGGTTTTATAACAGATATTGATGTTATGCTAATCAGTAGCTCTTTGCCATACCCGCTCCTTCACGGCTCTGACTTTCAATATTGTCAGAGCGCAGGCTGAGAATCTCTGAGCGCCGGAACCACGAGGGAGAGGATATAATCTGACTGCACCTACTGCTGGTGCGCACCAGTAGACCACCAGCGAACCATTTAAATTGAATATGCTTGTGTCCCCAACTTGTGAGCTGAGTTGGTCGCCGGGCACCTCTGTTGTCATGGCACCCTGCGTGACCGCACAGCTTGCACACCCCAACGGCTGGCCCTGCTGACATACACTGATGTTACTATTTAGACATCCCACAATATTAATACAGACATCAGCGTAAACACCAATAAACTGTGGAAACAGAGCTGATCCCCCCCAATTTATAAAGATTTGCTTACTGCATTTGTTGTAAGATTAAATCATGCCTCCTCCTCTCTCTCCCATGCGCTGCTCTGTAGGCTGGGAGGAAGTTAAGAGTAATCACATTCTCCCAGCACAGCGCCACCTGTGGCTGCATGGGGAACAGCTGGTTAATGTAATGCTTGCAGGACAGCCAGCTGCCGCAGAACCTCTTTGTTCCCGTCTCTGCAAAGGGCTCCAGGCACTGCTTGCTGTTAGTGTGAGCCACTGTAAATTAGGGGCAGAGGGCACTTGCATTGCGGTAAAGACGGGTCTGGGCAGGAGGAGAGTGCAGTGCAATCAGTGCGCTCCCCTCTTGTGGGTCACCAGTAGACTGGTGCACCTGCCCAGGATCAGAGCTGGTGCAAGGATTTTTGCTGCCCTAGGCAAAAGAAAAATTTGCTGCCCCCCATGTGACATCACAATGCCCCACCCATATGATCTGCCATATGAACTAACGCCAGTGCTGCACACAGTGTGTGTTTACATAAAAAAGCCTGCAGGGACCGGCTATAGACACCTGAACCACTTCATTAATCCCTTAAGGACACATGATGTGTGACATGTCATGATTCCCTTTTATTCCAGAAGTTTGGTCCTTAAGGGTTTAAGTTGAAGTGGTTCTGGGGACTATAGTGTCCCTTTAATGTGAGGTAAATAATAGATTAGTGTCACTAATATCATACTAGATTGCCTACTTACAACCAGATGAGGATGATAATGGGCTGCAGTTTGGCTCCACTGGTTTGGTGTAGAACAGGATCTCTGGAGGCTGTTTGCAACTGTGGTCACAAAATTCAATGTTCTGGGAGAATTGGAAGCAGCTCCATTTTTTTGTGGCCCCTTATACAGCTCAAGGTTTGGGCCCCAGGGCCTGACGGTGAGTATGCCCATAAGGCCCATTCATAAGTCCACTTATATGTTCCACCCACCCATGAGTTCGCTCACAGGGAGTGGAGTGTGTAGGGATGTGTTATGTTATTGTAGAGGATATAATTTGTGTGCTTATGGTATGTAGTGTATAGGGATACCAGTTTGTGTAGGCAATGCAGTGTGTTTGTGTGTAGTGGAAGCAGTGTGCATTGTGTATAAGGGATGTATTGTGTGTTTCTGGTTGTGTGTAAGGGATGCATTGTGTGAATCTGTGTTTGTATGCATAAGAGATGCAAGGTGTGTGTCTGTATGTGTGTGCATTGAGTGTGTGTAAGAGATGCATTGTGTTTATGTGTGTATGTAAGAAAAGCAGTGTGTGTGTTTGCATGTGTGTATAAGGGTTTGCCTTGTGTGTTTCTGTGTATGTGTGCAAATGATGCATTGTCTTTGTGTGTAAGGGTTGCATTGTGTGTGTAATGGATGCATCATGTGTTTCTCTGTGTGTGTAAGGGAAGCATGTTGTGTTTCTGTGTGTGTAGGGATGCATTGTGTGTTTCTGTGTATGTATAGGGATGCATTGTGTGTGCGTGTGCGCGTAGTGTGAAAGAGCTCCCTGTCTTGCCCCCGTCCTATAGAGCTGTCCTTTCTGTCCCTTAGAGCTCTCCCCCACCCTCCCCTAGCAGTCTCTTCTCCCACTCACCCACCCTCCCTGTGTTCTTCTCACCTCCCCCTACCTGTGTTCTCCTCATATACCCTTCTCCTCTCCCCCCCTCCCTGTGTTCTTCTTACCCCCTCTCCTCCCTGTGTTCTCCTCACCACCCACCCTCTCTATGTTCTTCTCAGTCCCCCCCGTTCTCCTCATCTCCCCTTCTCCTCACCCTTACTCTCCCCCCTCCTCCCTGTGTTCTTCTTACTCCGCCCTTGTTCTTGTTACCCCCTTTTTCTTCTTAGTCCCCCCTTCTTCTTCTTACCCCCTTCTTCTACTTACTCCTCACTTCTTCTTCTTACTTCCCCTTCTTCTTCTTACCCCCTTCTTCTTCTTACTCCCCCTTCTTCTCTCCCTCCTTCTTCTTACTCCCCTCCTTCTTCTTACTCCCCACTTCTTCTTACTCCCCCTTCTTCTTACCCCCCTCTTCTTCTTACCCACCCTTGTTCTTCTTCTTCTTACTCCCCTTCTTCTTCTTACCCCCCTTCTTCTTCTTACTCCCCCCCTTCTTCTTACTCCCCCCCTTCTTCTTACCCCCCTCTTCTTCTTAGCCCCCTCTTTTTCTATTGCCTCCCTGCCCCCCGGCCCAGCCCGCCCCTATGTAGAGCAAAGTATATTCATAATATATTATGTATATATTTTGTAGTACACTATAGCAGTATTTTCCTGTCATTTGGATC